TGGGGTTGGTGTGACCCACGGGCAGGACCCGGCACTTGGCCTGGTTGAACCTCACACCACTGCCCTCGGCCCATCGATGCAGCCTGGCCAGATCCCTCTGCAGAGCCTTCCCACTCTCCCGCAGGTCAACACGCCCGCCTAGCTTAGTGTCATCTTGCCACTTAATTCGCAAGAGCCGGATCTCTCCTGCAGGTCCCTCAACATTACTCCATCTTATGGCAAAACCCGCTTTCAGAAAGATTCAATCTATTTTATTTCTTTACTCAAAAACTTCTTCTGTTGTGTTGCCCCCTATGCTGATGTCGTCAATGTACTGTAGGTGTTCCGGAGCTCCACACTACTCCAGTGCAGTCTCGGTCGGCCCATGGCAATGGTGGGGCTGTGTTTCCCCCTGGGGCAGTCGATTCCAGGTGTACTGGACACCCCTCCAGGTGAAAGCAACACCAAAGGTTGCCAAAGGGGTTTAAAAAAACACATAAGTGATATCTGCCTTGGACTCCAGTTCGTGTTGGAGTTGTAGCACGGCCGGCACAGCAGCGCTCAGCGGTGGTGTGACATGATTCAGGCTGCGATAGTCCACTGTTGGCCTCCACTCTCCATCCGGCTTTCGCAGTGGCCGTGTGGGGCTGATAAGGGGTGAGCGAGCCCTGCCAATCGCTCCTTGGCTCTCCTGTCGATGAACCAGCTTACGGGTGGGAACCGGGGCGTCTCAGATGATGCGATATTGCCGCCGATGCACTGTGGCGGTAGCGATTGGCACCCGTTGGTCTTCGACCCTCAGCAACCCCACAGCAGAAGGGTCCTCCGAGGGACCAGGCAATGGCCACAGCTTTTTAATTGCCCCCATCTCCGAGGCAGCTGTGCCAAAAGCCCACCCGCACCTTTTGGGATCCTTGAAATACCCTCTCCTGAGGTGGTCTGTGCCGAGGGCGCCCGGAGCCCCCGGGCTGGTCAGCGTGGGGTGCTCTTCCCACTCATTCCCAGTTCGGCTCCCTTCAGCTTCCCATACGCTCTGCTGCCAGCATCCCCCCGTCCCTCCGGAAATACAGATGGGTTCTGCCCATCTACAGCTCGGTGGCATTTGGGTATGCCGTGCACCAGTGCGTACTGGAGCCTTGCACTGCTGCGGGTCTGACGAGCCAGGCCACCGAACCCAGACGGTCCAGTAAACCCGGTTGTCCCTTTCCCCCACCTAGCTGGAGGCAGGGCCCCTCTCGTCCTCATCATGCTATCCACTACTCACTTCTTCCAAAAGCGACTTAGAAACTCCTTCAAGAGGCTCAGAAGTGAGATCAGACCTTCTGCTCTGCCCGGGGAACTGCCCGCTGGAACTGGAGGGGCATTTCTCCCGGGGGGATCCCCTTTTGTGATTGTTCTTCCGTGTGATTCACGTACCCGTTCCCGTAAGGTCCAGGTAGGTTCTCCATCCCACTTCCTCATGTTGTCTCCGTGGCCACACAAGTAAAACCCCAGGGTGCCTCGTGCTGTGTACCCTCTGTATCCTCTCTCTGGAGCAGAGGGATTCTTGCTCCAGCACAAGTCTTGTGAGGAGCAGCTGTGGGGGGAACTGGCTGAGAGGGACCACCCAGAGGGTGGTGGAAAACAGCTCCTTCTCAAACTGGCAACCTGTCAGGAGTGGGGTCCCTCACGGATCAATACTGGGCCCAACACTCCTCAGTATCTTCATAAGTGATCTGGATGATGGGATCAAGCGTTCCCTGACGAAGTTTGCTGATGACACCAAACTGAGTGGGGAAGTGGACACCTTGGAAGGGAGAGCCACGCTGCAGGAAGACCGGGACAGGCTGGAAGAGTGGGCTACCAAGAACCTTATGGAGTTCAACAAGGACAGGTCTTGCATGTGGGAAAACATAACCCAGGGGTGCAGCACAGGCTGGGATCTACCCGTCTGGGGAGCAGCTCTGCGGAAAGGGACCTGGGTGGACAAGCTCAATGTGAGTGAACAGTGTGCTGCTGCAGCAAAGGAAGCCAACAGGACACTGGGTCGCGTCTCGGGCATCGCCAGAGCAGAGACAAAGAAGTCATTATCCCACTCTACTCAGCGCTGGTCGGGCCACACCTGGAACACTGGGTTCAGTTTTGGTCCCCTCTATACAAAAAAGCTGTGCGGGTGAGAGACGGTCTGGAAAGGCCCACCAAGATGGTCAAAGGACTGGGAAAGCTCCACGTGATGAAGGGCTGAGAGAACGGGGTTTGTTCAGCCTTGAGAAAAGGCGGCTCAGGGGCGACCTTACCACCACGTTCCAGTATTTAAAGGGTGGCTGCAAAGAAGATGGAGATTCCCTTTTTATAAGGAGTGACATGGAAAAGATGAGGGATGATGGGTACAAGTTACTCCTGAGGAGATTCCGATGGGACACAAGAGGAAAATGTTTCAAGGTGAGAACAATCAGCCGCTGGAATAATCTCCCCGGGAAAGCGGTGGATTTCCCATCACCACAGGACACTTTTAAGATGCAGCTGGAGATGGTGCGGGGCCATCTCGTCCAGATCGTGCTTTTGCCAGTGCATGGGTTGGTTTTCTGGTTCAGCCCCAGCGCCTGTCACGGGGGTTGGAGTAGCCGCAGGGGTTGCAGTATCCGTAGTGCCCATCAGAGGGGTTTCCCCCTCTTCCCCTGAGGCACTGCCCCGTACCGCACAGCCCTCGGTAGGTCCTGGCCAGGGCCCCGCACGGGGCGGTGAGTTATCCCTCTCTGGAACAGCCACAGCATTTTCCTTTCAGATATTCTGTCACTCCGTGGGGGTCCTGTAGTAGTTTGGGGGGTGAAGTTCCGAACCAGTGGAGGTGAGAAGGTCCCTCGGTGCCTGCCCCTGCCCTGCCCCATGCCGCGCCACCCGTGACTCCCCAGCCTCGGGGCACACCTCTGGGTCGTAGCCTTAACAAATATCCCTGTAACCCTCCAGAAGACTTGAAGCCCATTCAGGAGACACAGGACAGGGCCATGCTGGCTTGGACATCCCAAGGATATTCCACATGCTCAACAGCTGCTGTAACTGGGAGCATCGGGGCAGCGGTGGAGCACTGGGGAGGAGGAGGGTACCCGGCTTGCTTTCTCTTTTCCAATTAGGGTTGTTTTTTTTTTTTAATTATGATTTCTTTTTAATGATTAAACTTTATTTATCTCAACCTACAAGTTTCTCTCTCACTTTTACCCCTCCAACTCCCCCAATCCCACCAGCGGAGGCAGCGAGGGAGCGGCCGAGTGGTGCTTCGCTGCCGTCCGGCCTTAAACCACGAAGGGTAATAAAGCACCAACAGCCATAAGGCACAGCCATAGGCCCCCTCAGCGCCTATTGGCGGGGGGCGGCCGCGCG